CACCTGGCAGATTTATCCATCCCCAAAAACCCCACAAGCTGCTGCATCAGCTTGGGGATATTCCAGCTCCTTCCTTCCCTCCTTTCAAATTCCCAGAGCTGCTCCCTCCATCACCAGAACCCCCAATTCCCAGCACTTCTCCCTCCAAATTCCCAGAGCTGCTCCCTCCATCACCTGGCCAAGCAGAGCCCCCAGTTCCCATATTCCCAACATCCAACACATCCCAAATTCCCAGAGCTGCTTTCTCCATTTATTAAATTTTTCAAACATCCCATCCAGGGCTTTTCCTGTGCTGGGCTCAGTTTCTGGGTAGAATCACCCCAAAAAAAGGCCCAGCCTGGGAGGAGGGGCAGCTTTAATCACCTCCAGCTCTGTCTGCGCCACGGGAAATGTGATTTTAATTCAGCAGATCCCCGAGCAAACCCATTTAGTTGGGAAGCAGAGTTTCACACCTGCTTTGAACCCCAGGATGGGTCTGGTTTGGGAATTTCCAGAGCCCTCTCGGTGTCCTGAGAGGATTTTTGGGGTGGGATCGCTGTGGGTTTGTGCATCAGGACACGCTGGAGCGCTGCATGCACCCGTGGGTGGGTGGAATACAGAATTCCCAGGATTCCCACAGGCTGGGCAGGAACACCAGAACGTGGAAAGGAGGTTTTGGGATAAGGGTTAAATAGCAAACAGCCAGCGGGGAGTTGGATGTGCTCAGCTCCTGAACCAAGCTGTGATTGCCTTCCCCAAATCCTCACAGAGGGAATTTTATTTTATTTTATTTTATTTTATTTTATTTTATTTTATTTTATTTTATTTTATTTTATTTTATTTTATTTTATTTTATGTTATTTTATTTTATTTTATTTTATTTTATTTTATTTTATTTTATTTTATTTTGTTTTGTTTTGTTTTATTTCATTTTATTTTATTTTATTTTATTTTTATTTTATTTATTTTTAATTAATTTTTATTTTATTTATTTTTATTTATTTGATTTTATGCTATTTATTATGGTTTATTTTATTTTATTTTAACCACCTCAACCTGCTGGAGATCCTGGGTTATTTTATATTTGATTTTATTTTATTTTAATTTCTTTTAATTTATTTTATTTCATTTATTGTATTGTGTTTGATTTTATTTTAACCACCCCAGCCTGCTGGAGATGCTGGGTTATTCTATTCTATTCTATTCTATTTTATTCTATTCTATTTATTCTATTTATTTTATATTTTTTTATTTTAACCACCCCAACCTGCTGGAGATGCTGGGTTATTCTATTCTATTCTATTCTATTCTATTCTATTCTATTTATTTTATTTATTTTATATTTTTTTATTTTAACCATCCCAACCTGCTGGAGACGCTGGGTTATATTTTATTATATTTTATATTTTATTTTTTATTTTTAATTTTTAATTTTTTTAAATTATTCTATTCTATTCATCACCCCCCAACCTGCTGGAGATGCTGGGTTATTCTATTCTATTCTATTCTATTCTATTCTATTCTATGTTATTTATTTTATTTTATTTATTTTATTTTATATTTTTTTATTTTAACCATCCCAACCTGCTGGAGACGCTGGGTTATATTTTATTATATTTTATATTTTATTTTTTATTTTTTAATTTTTAATTTTTTTAAATTATTCTATTCTATTCATCACCCCCCAACCTGCTGGAGATGCTGGGTTATATTTTACTATATTTTATTTTTTATTTTTAATTTTTTTAAAATTATTCTATTCTATTAATCCCCCCCAACCTGCTGGAGATGCTGGGAGCAGCTCAGCTCCAAAGTCCTGACCCTTTTCAAAGTGGAAACAGCAGAGGAAGATGATGGAAAGGGGTTTTTAAACCTCCAGGGACGGGGGTGAAAAGAGTTAACAACAGAAATGGAAACCAGGAGCAGCAGCTTGGTTATAAAATGGCCAAATCCCACATTTCCAGCCCGGTTTTTTGTGTGGATTCTGACAAGGCACGAGCTGAAATGATTCATTTCGAGCTCTTGCTTTTGTTTGGAGTGGAAATGTCTCAATCTGACTCTGGCACGAGCGCTCGGTGCCGAGCTGACAGCGGAGCTGCGCCGATGTTTTTGAAGCAAAATGGGTTTGCTTTGGGAAAATGAATCAGCTCAGCATAATCAAAACAAAGCGCTTGGAGCGCTCCCAGCCAAAATCTTTCACTCAACGAGAAAAATTTTGTCCCTTTTCATCCAGATTTTGGAACAGAACCCCCATATTTTAGAGTTCAGCTCTCCCACAGAACGGAAATTTCATCGCCCAGCGCGTTGGAAGGGGCTGGAAATGAGGGAAATGCTGTGGAGAGGGAGGTGTTGGTCAGGAAGGTGCTGTCCCAGGGGACGTGTGGCACTCTCCATTGTGCTCTGCAGGAGCCTGGGACACAATGGCAGGGAAGGAGCCCGGATTCCTGGGGGGAACAGCCAGAAACAGCAGCAGGAGGGAAGGAGGGAGCTGGGGGATGCAGCAGCTTGTGGGGATTTGGGGATGGAGAAATCGGCCAGGTGAGGCAGGAGCAGCTCTGGGAATTTTGGAAATGTTGGGTGCAGGAAACTGGGGTCTCTGCTTGGCCAGGTGAGGGAGGGAGAAGCTCTGGGAATTTGGAGGGAGAAGTGCTGGGAATTGGGGGTTCTGGTGAGGTTCCTCTGGGAATTTGGGAAGTGTTGGGTGCAGGGATTTGAGGCTTCTGGTGATGGAGGGAGCAGCTCTGGGAATCTGGAAGGAGGGAAGGAAGGAGCTGGAATATCCCCACACTGAGCTGGGGGATGCAGCAGCTTGTGGGGATTTTGGGGATGGATAAATCTGCCAGGTGAGGGAGAGAGCAGCTCTGGAAATTTGGAGGGAGAAGTGCTGGGAATTGGGGGTTCTGGTGAGGTTCCTCTGGGAATTTGGGAAGTGTTGGGTGCTGGGATTTGAGGGTTCTGGTGAGGGAGGGAGCAGCTCTGGGAATTTGGAAGGAGGGAAGGAAGGAGCTGGAATATCCCCAAGCTGATGCAGCAGCTTGTGGGGGTTTGGGGATGGATAAATCTGCCAGGTGAGGGAGGAGCAGCTCTGGGAATTTGGGAAGGGTTGGGTGCAGGGATTTGAGGCTTCTGGTGATGGAGGGAGCAGCTCTGGGAATTTGGGAAATCTTGGGAATTGCGGGTTCTGGTGAGGGAGAGAGCAGCTCTGGAAATTTGGGAGGTTTTGGGTGCAGGGAATTGGGGTCTCTGCTTGGCCAGGTGAGGGAGGGAGCAGCTCTGGGAATTTGGAGGGAGAAGTGCTGGGAATTGGGGGTTCTGGTGAGGTTCCTCTGGGAATTTGGGAGGTTTTGGGTGCAGGGATTTGAGGCTTCTGGTGATGGAGGGAGCAGCTCTGGAAATTTGGAAGGAGGGAAGGAAGGAGCTGGAATATCCCCACACTGAGCTGGGGGATGCAGCAGCTTCTGGGGTTTTGGGGATGGATAAATCTGCCAGGTGAGGGAGGGAGCAGCTCTAGGAATTTGGGAAGTGTTGGGTGCAGGGAATTGGGGAATTGGGAATTTTTCTTGGCCAGGTGAAGGACAGAGCAGCTCTGAGAAGTTTTGGGTGCAGGGAATTGGGAATTCTGCTTGGCCCTTGGCTCATGGTGAGGAATGCTCTGGTGTCCCTTTTTCCCTTGGGAAAAGAAAATCTTCCTGCCAAAACAAAAAAACCGAAAAAAAACCCCAAAACAACAAAAAAGCAGCAAAAATTATCCTGGGAAGGAATTCTGGGAGAAAATGGCATCAAAATCTGGTTGTCCAGGAGGGATGGTCAGGATGGGATGGGGTGGCCACAGCTGTGGGTGGGACCTCCTAAAACTGTCCCAGCCTGGTTAAAGCAAAAAGGACCGGCTGGATTTAAAGGTGAGGGTGTGGAGAGCAGGGAAAAACCCAGAGTGGGA